CCCCTCCCCAAAACAGTTGCAATAATCCTATCACTCATTATCCTATGAAATTACCCACCCTAATAAAAACTGACAACCTCCCATCTTCTGAGATGGCCTATTTTCTGTCTGTGGAGTATCCCCCTGAATAAACCTTTCATTCTACTGTGACTGGCTCTTGAGTTCTTTCCCTTATGAAGCCAAGAACCCACATTTAGCAGCCATCCTAGGGACTTGCCTGAGACGTGGCAAGTAACCATTCTCTCATGCCCCACTTTCTTTCCTGTAACAGCATGAATTAACCAGATTGATTGCCTATTAAAACAAAAATATCAGTGATCTCCATAAGAGCTAAATAAGGTGTCATAATAGTCAAGTATCTGGGATAAAATCCAAAATTACATGGTAGGGGTTTCCGTGACCCAGTGGTTGGGAGCCCACTGGCAATGCAGGAGATGCCAGTTCAATGCCTGGTCTGGGACCCAGCGTGCCACAAGCACTGAGTCTGCGCTCTGAGCCTTCGAGCCGCAACTACTGAGCCCACATGCAGAACTACTGAGCCCCACGCACTCCAGCGCTCACGCTCTGCACCAAGAGAAGACACCGCAATAAGTCTGCACACCACAAGGAAGACTAGCCCCCGTGGCTGCAACTAGAGAAAGCCCATGCAGAGCAATGAAGACCCAGCACAGCCAAAAATAAATTATTTTTTAAAAATTACATGGTATGCAAAGAACCAGGAAAAATCTCAATTCACACGCAAAAATCAACAGATGCCAATACTTAAATGACAATCGTATCTGACACTTTAAAGCAAAATTACACAAATGCTCTTGCAAGCAATTATGAACACTCTTGACATGAATGGGAAAAAAAGAAAATCACAAAAAAGAGAGGATACAAAGAAGAACTGAAAGGGTAGAGAGTCCCTGGAGAAAGAGAACCAGGCCTGGTTTTCTCAACAGAAGAGAAGCCGTTTTGGCCTAAGCCATTTTGTAATCTAAGCCTGGCTGTAATGCGTGCCCTTGAACAGGTGTCAGAAACTAATGACATTTAAGGAAGTAAGGCAATACAGGAACAATGGGAAAGCAGTCAAGATACAATAGTTCAGTGATGAAAGAGTCCTAGTTCCTCCCCAAGGGGCATATATATCTACCTGATACATACCCTCTGATACACTCCTTTCCGTGTCCCCCATTTCTTGTTTGTAGGAAACAGGGCTCATTCAGCCTCCTGACCTTCCCTGAGTTCCGCAAATTTAAGCAGGTGCTTATTATCAGGGAAGGGTGGGGAAGCAGAAACAAAGGGGGAAGAGTCAAGAAATAATAGTGCAGCTGCGGGGCAGGGTCGTGGCTCCTCCTCAAGGCTCCTTTGAGTTCTTCAGTAGGAATGAGGCCCCACCCGGGTGGAGAATGGTATCTTAAGGCTGACACAAGACTCCTGGAACCTTCTGCCTCACCACTGACCAATCAGAAGAAAGTCTGCACAGGGGAAGATAAGGAAGACACTTATCCCTCCTCCTCAAATGATTCTCCCTTTAAAAACTTTCATGGTCAAGCAGAATCTTCGGAGTTGGCTTTTTGACCCTAGACATTAGTCAGCCTTCTCTCGGGTTGCTGACGTCCTGAATAAATCAACTTTTCCTTTCCAATGAACACTCGTCTCTTGAATATCAGTTTTCAAGCAGCAGGCTGCCGAACCTGAGTTCGGTAACAGCACTAGCATCCTCCAGGGAGGAGAAGAGGCTGGAGATTGAGATAGCTGATCATGCCTATATTATGAAGCATGAAAATCCCTGGACTGTGGGCTTTGGAGTGCTTCCAGGTTGATTCACTTACTGATGCACTAGGAGGGTTCAGTTCAGTCACTCAGTTATGTCCAACTATTTGTGACCCCATGAACTGCAGCACACCAGGCCTCCCTGTCCATCACAAACTCCCGGAGTTTACTCAAACTCATGTCCATTGAGTCAGTGATGCCATCCAACCATTTCATCCTCTGTCGCCCCCTTCTCCTCCTGCCTTCAATCTTTCCCAGCATCAGGGTCTTTTCAAATGAGTCAGCTCTTTGCATCAGGTGGCCAAAGTATTGGAGCTTCGTTTCAGCATCAGTCCTTCCAATGAATGTTCAAGACTGATTTCCTTTAGGATGGACTGGTTGGATCTTCTTGCAGTCCAAGGGACTCTCAAGAGTCTTCTCCAACACCACAGTTCAAAAACATTGATTCTTCGGTGCTCAGCTTTCTTTATAGCCCAACTCTCACATCCATACATGACTACTGGAAAAACCATAGCCTTGACTAGATGGACCTTTGTTGGCAAACTAATGTCTCTGCTTTTTAAAGTGCTGTCTAGGTTGGTCATAACTTTCTAGGAGCGTAGTGCAACCCAAATCCTTGGGACAGAACCTCCTACACTTGGGACCCTTCTGGACTTCCGTGATGTTTCTTCATCTGCTTATCTATAGCCTTTATTATATGCTAAACTAGTGAACACGGTTCCCTTTGCTGTTCTAGCAAAGCTTCAAACCTGAGATGGTTATGGTGGGTTCACTGGTTTATACCAGCCAGTAGAAATGTCCTATCTTCTTGCCTTTTCATACTGTTCATGGGGTAGTCCAGGCAAGAATGCTGGAGTGGTTTGCCATTCCCTTCTCCAGCGGACCACTTTTTTTTTTTTTTTGGACCATGTTTCACTAGACTGGAGTTCATTGTTCTCTTGATAAACCACAGACTTCCGCCAATTCAGCACCGAGACACTTGGCTATCTCAGTTCTGGCGGCCATGGAGCTGAAGGAGAAGACTCGGTAGCCAGTGCGGCCGAGTGTTCACGACCTGGCAGGTGGCAGGGCAGGCTTGGGGGGCTTGGAAAGCAGAGGACACGGAGAGCGGGGGCGCTCAGCAGCAGCTTCTTGGCCATCGTCTGGCCCAGGGGCACACAACAGCCAGCCCGCATGGGGCTGCACCCGGGAGCAGTTTTCATGGAGGCGGCCACCAGGCCTGGCCAGCAAAGGCTCCGAGAAAACCAGCGCCAGAGGGAAAAGGCGCCAGGGCCCTCACCCTCCGTGTTCCAAGGGTCACTTAAGGGTCTGGCGCAGGAAGAGCTCGCAGCAACCTGTGCCGCAACCGCCTCAAAGGTCCCTATGGTCAAAGCTATGGTTCTTCCAGGACCTATTATGGATGTGAGTCGGACCATAAAACAGGCTGAGCACTGAAGAAATGCTTTTGAACTGCGGTCATCAAGAAGACTCTTGAGAGTCCCTTGGACAGCAAGGAGCTCAAAATAGTCAATCCTAAAGTAAATCAGTCCTGAATATTCATAGGAAAGACTGATGCTGAAGCTCCAATACTTTGGCCTGATGCGAAGAACTGACTCATTGGAAAAGGCCCTGGTGATGGGGAAGATGAAGGGCAAGAGAAGAAGGGGACGACAAGAGGATGACATGGTTGGATGGCATTACCAACTCAATGGATGTGAGTTTGAGCAAAGTCTGGGAGATACTGAAGGACAGGGAAGCCTGGCGTGCTGCAGTCCATGGGGTCACAAAGAATTGGATGCAACTTAGTGACTGAACAACAAAGGAGAAATGTAGGTGACAATCTGGGCCTTGCAAATGGTATCTTAAGTGCAGGCAGCACTATGAGACTGAGCCCTTGTGGGATCAGATGGACAGTGTTACACTAAATTGTAGGACACCCAGGTGGTATCTGCAGAATATTAGAGCATTTCTTGGTGTAGGAAAACCCACACATCTGGCACCTTCAGTAAAGGAAGAAATTGTGTTTGTTTTCCTTTCAGTGGACATGGTTAAGTAGTAGTTGTTTAGTCACTGAGTCATGTCCAACTCTTGTGAAGTCATGGACTGCAGCCTGCTGGCTCCTCTGTCCATGGGATTTCTGAGACAAGAATATTGGAGTGGATTGTCATTTCCTTCTCCACTGGATCTTCCCGACCCAGGAATCAGACTCTCATCTCCTGCATTATAAGAACCACCTGGGAAGACCCAGTTAAGTAGTAGCATAGTTAAATAACATAGCCAGGGTAGAATACTAAAGAATGAGGAGCTCTGTGATGTTCTGATATGGAAAAATCTTCAAGATACAATATTAAGAGAAAAATACATGTATAGCTGTATGTCTTTGTGTAGACTTGTTGGCTACCCTGAGGACTAAAGTGAGGGTATATTCATTATGTACCCATTTTATACATTATGAAGCTTCCATCATGTGTTACACTTCTGATCTATATGTGATAAGCAAATAAAATTTAATAAAAATAGAAACATTAAAACATTATTTGCGATTGCATGACATCTTTACCTCCTTAAAGAACAGGCCTAAAAACAGCCCTAGGAACACATACCACTGGACTCTGTTATACTAAAAATATAATCTAGGAAAAATTCCAGTATTTTTACATTAAAAAGTTGATCTGAAAAATAAAGATGAAAAAATCTTTCACAAAAAGGTGAGTTTAAAAGTGTTTGGTACTTGCTGTCATTATCTTGGAAAGATCTGAAAAGCAAACTCTAGTCTTAAAAAAAGAGATTGTAAGTGTTAGTCGCTCAGTCACGTCCACCTCTTTACAACCCCATCAACTGTAGCTTGTCAGGCTCCTCTGTCCACGGGATTCTCCAGGCAAGAATACTGGAGTGTGTTGCCTTTTCCTTCTCCAGGGGACTTTCCCAACCCCGGGATCAAACCTGGGTCTCCTGCGTTGCAGGCAGACACTTTACTGTCTGAGCCACCAGGATCTATCTCTAGTCTTGAAAAACTAGCCAAAATTAATGTTTCACCTGGAGCACTTGTTCTCAATCCTCTTACAGACAGCTAGTATGCTTCCAATTACACAGTTCCTGGCATACTGTAGATGCATGGTCAATGCTGAATGCATGAATTAACTCTTGAATGTCTCATTTAGAGTCCTATTCTAAATTGATATATTTTTAAAAGTTCTCTTTGTAAAACAACTCATCACACCAAAACGACATACTCTTAGTATTTCAGTATTAGTTCCTTTTAGTTTTTTCAAATAATAGTTTTATTCACTTTCAATTGCTACATATTTCATCAAATTCTTACAAACCATAACTTATTAACCATAGCTGACCTATTCATATTCTTATTATTGGATATTTAGCCTGAGTTGATGTACTCTCCGTTAAAATTAAAGAGTGCAAAAATGAACATTACATACAGTTTAAGTTGTTATTCTAAAGCTTGATCATGGCATAACACAATGTTAATATATATCATTAAAACAAACCAATAACAATAATTCAGCAACATCAGTAACAGTTCACTGATTTATTAGATGAACAAACATATCCATATAATCAATGAAAACTGTACGATATATAAAATAATTTAAGAAATGTTGGGAATTAGCAGCACCATCCATTATTGAAATAGCAAGAAAAACTTCACATATTTTATCCAACACGAGAAGAGGATATAACTACTTTAAGACTTATTAATGCCACTGAATGTCTGGGATGATTGAAAAGGGCATCTCTTTAGGCAAACATACCTCCTTCTACTTCAAAGATCTGGTGAGCAAATCTGATGGTTAATGTTTTAGAAAAAAATGCTACTAAATGAAATAAGAGATACTGCATAGTATTGTAATTAGGACAAGGAGACTAACACCCAGCTACTTTTGCCTGGTTCAACACTTCGGCTTCTATGAAAAACTTAGTTCTGGATTATGAAATTAGAAATAAAAAATAATTTTAAAAAGACACTAGCTGTCTCTAAGAAACATTAAGTGGGACACAGGTCACTATGAAAATACATCACTTTTCCAGTTTGCTTAATAATTTACTTTAAAAAGTTGTGTAGTTTTCAGCACAAGTGACATACAAATTTCTTAATAATCATTTTTAAAAGTTTTAATGTATTTCTAAAATCTAATAGATTCTTTTTTTCTTTAAACCTTTAGCCCTGTTGTTACATTTACTGTGTATCAGAGTAAGAGACTGAGTTTGTGTGAAGGATACAAATTTACACACATTTTACAGCAACTTACACCCTAACATCTACAAAATTCACATTTATAATACAAGCAAGTACAAGGCCAGGCTAAAATTGCTGAATTCCAAAAAGTCAAACTCATACTATTTTTATTTTGTCCCCTTAAAAAAAGTTCAACGTCGGCACCAAATTCAAAAAAGCCCTCTTAAGAAGTTTGGAAAAAATTTCCAGACATATTTCAGCAAACACAAACAGTCTTTCTGTGCTGGTGAAGTAAAGGATTTCCAATTTTCTTCTGGCCCCTGAGTCTGCGTCGCATGGTGAGTTTAGCAGAGTTCTTGCGCTGGGAGGTCGTGGGGAGGCTTGCAGGCTGAGCACCACTACTGCGACTTAAACCATTCCGTCTGTGCTTCTTCATAAGAGGGCCGGAGTTGGATTCTTCTAATGTCCTTTTGAAGTTTGCCGGAGGGGTTCTTTCAACTTCTTGGGCTTTCATTTGACCTGGGGTTGATATCTTCACATTTTTTTGGTCCATGATGGTGTTTGTTGAATTGGTAGGCACCAGGCCAACGGACAGGCTATTATTCAAAGAATCATGTATCCTTAAAGTCAGGGCTTTAGTGCAATTTTCTTCCAGTGGCTCTGGATCTTTTGAGGATATGACTGCAGCCTGAACATTCCCCCGAGCTAGCTCAGTTGGGACTTCTAAATAATTCTCTGAAAAGGCATTACTACGGACAAGGGCAGGTATATGGTCCTTGGAGTTCAGCCTTGGCCATGGGTCCTCCTCCAGGGACTGAAAAACAAGAAGGTAAGACCAAGTGAGAAATAATTTATCCTAGAATTCAGCTTAACCATTGGGGAAATGAAAGGGTTTCATTAGAATAAATGACAAAACTGTTTACTTGGGGGGTTTATTTCCTACTTTCTAGACTTAATTTCTGAATATCTAGTAGTGTGGACAAGGTAAAGTGCGACATTAAAGCAATTCTGTCACAATGGAAATTCAGATTGTTGCTTTGCACCCATCTCCTGAACACTAGATGCTGTTCTGGGATTTGAGAAAATACAATATACGGGAATGTCTGGGATTTGAGAAAACAGGATATACGGGAAAGTCTGGGATTTGAGAAAATAGGATATATGGGAATGGCTAGGGCAACTTGCAAAGATACAAACGAAATCATATGGAACTTTCAGGTGCTGTTTCTTAAAAAGCTTCACAAGGAGGTACAGATATGCACTACTTCAGGTATAGTGCCCCAAATCTAAATGTTTTCGGAATATCCTCCCATCTCCAGACAAGAACATTCTTCCTATCAAATAAGAATCTTCCATTATTTTAATAGTTTATAAAATCACTATTTTAATAACTTTTCCAAGGACAAATTTTAAGCATAAATACTTCCTCTTCCCGAAATGTGTATCATTTCCCTCAATCTTTCCTCTTTCAATCAAATCAAATTTATTAAAATATTTTCTGAAAAGCCTAAGTAAATCCTTTTGTATTTAGAATGGTAACTAAAGATATATTACTAGTCACCTTCTGATATAAAATTCCCCATGAATAAACACCTTTTGGAAAAGTGCTTTATAAAAAAGCATATTTATAAAAGTAATGTTTCCTTTAATGTTTCTAGAATTAAGAAGAAAAATGAAAACTGGAGGAATCTAAAAGCATTTCAATTTAACCATAAACATGAACACGCTTTACTAAGAAAAATAAACCAACTTTAGGTCCACTGGAGGCTAGAGATGAGAAACTCTGAAGTTCCTAACGCAGTACTGCCCCAAATAGAATACTGCTAAGCTTTTTAAAATGCTTTTATTTATTTATTTGGCTGTGCTATGTCTTAGTTGCAGCATGCAGGATGGCTGCAACATGCAAACTCTTAGCTGCAGCATGTAGGATTTAGTTCCCTGACCAGGGATTGAACCCAGGTCCCCTGCATTGGGAACCTGAAGTCTTAGCCACTGGACCATCAGGAAAGACCCTTAAGAAAAAAAAAAAAAACACACCTAAGTATATTTCTTTCTTTCTGGGGTCACTGGTTCATTTATTTATTTTACATTGCATGGTTTATTGAAAGCCCAATTCTTATCTGTTTTAACACTGACTAGATGTTGGGCAGCAATCTTATTTCGAAGTACTGGTGTTGAGCATGGATAACAGAACAGTCTCTATTCTAGAACATTCACATGTGGCTTTCAGCAATATCAACGACAACCTGTCTGTGAATTTATCCCCTCTGTATTAGGTTGATTCCAATGCCTACCCTGATCACAAGCATGTACTGACTGATCACAGAAAACTATACCTCACCAAAAGTAACTGTTGACTAAAGGTTCATCTGCTTTAATATAGAAAAAGGATTTGCAACAAGACCAGGCAGCAGATAAATTCTGTGAACAGAAGACTTCCTACTACCAAACAAACACATTACTAATTTAGGGACCAGAAAAAAAGATACTAATCAGGCCACTTATAGGAACAGAACATAACTGCTCTAGCTTGTACAACAAGGTTTAGACATTAGATGGAATTCCTTTACAAAAGAAAAACAATGGGATGATTTTAGAGTTAACACAATTTACTGGAATTTCTGTTGTGCTGTGTTCTTTTAAACTCACAAACTATTATTATTCTGATACCACAGGTGCACTGGCTTTTCTTCCCCTACTTATTCCTTTAACTTTTCCATTTCCTTCTCTTTTTATTGGCATTCTACAGGAATACACTGCATCTGTTTGTGCAGCCAACCGCTTAGACTTCTGAGACTCATCTCAGATTAATTACCACCTGTACTGCTAAGCCTTCTTATATGTTCATTAAACACATGATATTAAGAGCTTACATCCTAAAAATTCACACTTGCAAAGTTTCACTTCAGAGATCCACTTTGAGAGCTCCATATATTTACAATCCAACCGTAAACAGCTAATGACAAATTGTGCCTAGAATGCAACTGAAACTAAGTGCTAATCCTCTGAAAGAACTCTCTTCCTCATTCCTCCTTCCTAGAGCTCTTGGTTTACTTAAAAAAACAGCTAAAGTTAGTTTTGCCCTAAAGAAAGATGGAGAAAGAAAGGTGTGCCATAGTAACATATCACTTAAACAGAAGCAGTTCTACTATCTTTGTCCCAAAACAGAGATGTGAGCACCGATTTAGCTGACAATTCAAACGGAAGCTGGCGTGTCTGTAGATGGCTAACCTAGTCTCAAGTGCCTAATCTAAATATGGGTAAGTCTTAAAAACTGCTCAAAATCAACCAAAATGTCATTATATTCATCTACATGCTACTAAACACAGGATTATTATCATAACAATGAAATAAATCAGAGATACTCAGGCGTAGCCATGGTTAACTAAGATAAAAGAAACAAAACAGAACACAATCTCGAGCAGAAATCTGTCTTTATTTACTTGTTGGGCCAGAGCCTACAACAGTGATTATTCTGAATGGCTCTAAATACTTTTTCATATTTAGGTGTGGCTAAATGGTTAACAAATAACCATGCCTATACAGAAGTTAGTCCATAGATAAATCTCCTAATCTTTAGTATAATTATTAGATCATTATTTTTCAGAATTTTAAAATATGTTTTAAAGGGCTTCCCTGGTGGTCTAGTGGTTAAGAATCTGCCTGCCAATGCAGGGGACAGGGTTCCGTCCCGGTCTGGTAAGATCCCACATGCCGCAAGGCAACTAAGTCCATGAGCCAAAACTACTGAAGCCCACGTGCCTAGAGCCTGCGCTCTGCAACGAGAAGCCCACGCACCGCAACCAAGAGTACCTCCTGCCTGCTGTGACCAGAGACCAAGACCCAGGACAGCCGAAAGTCAGTCTTTAGAAAATACGCCTTAAAACTTATGCCTTGGTGTAATTTCTGTACAATTTTACTAACGCCAATCCACAGATTAACATTAAGAATGTCCTATCTTCTCTCCCCTCATTCTTACCTCCATCCTATGGCACCTCTATACTACCTACAGTTCAGTTACAAATACAAACACTTTAGGGAACACAAAAGTAATGAATACTTTCAAATACAGAAACCGGTGAACTCTAAAGTGAACATAACCTCCTTCACAACACTCAAAAGAGAATGAAGAGACTTTAAAAGATCTCAACCTGCATTATTATTCAAGAGTTTTCAAAGAAAAGAAAGTTTCCACAAGAAATTCTTTTAAGAAAATAAGCATAAAATATTAATTTGTCAATTTCTAAATGAAAAGTCCATGTAAGGAAAATTAAGTTGCCATATATATGTGAAGTAAAAGACAGGAAAGCAATAATGGAAAACTTCCAAGTACTCTATACAGGATCACAATACCCAAAATTAAATAAATTCCTTGTACTGTGTAGCTTTGATCATCTTAAAAAACTGCCTCAATACCTGACATAAAATTCCACTGTGTTTCCCATTTTAATGGTCATTCTTCTGAAAGCACATTCTCAGAAGGCCAGGTATATCACAGCAGTTATCAATATTACTAATTATTAGTAGAAAATTAGAAAAAAGTAGGGAAAAATTGAGATGAAATCAGAAGGAAGGGAAATACTATAGCATTTAACCTTATTTCTGAGCACATCTTAAATTCATTCAATATTAATATGGGTAAGAAATAGGAATGATGCTTCTTATTTATGTTAATAGACAACCAATTCTAAAGGCTGATATCCTAAGGTCCAGTTCAGCCTTGATTCTGTATCTTATTCAAACTGCTTAATATCTCAGTCTTATTATCTATAAAATGGAGTTAATTATCTGCACTATTTAGCTTCCAGGGTTATGAGGTTCAAATGAAATACCACATATGAAAGTCCACCAAAAGCTTTTAAATGCTTACAAATGTGCACAATATTGGAGGGAATCAGTATGTTCCAAGTATTGACGTTGTTAACAGTCTTCCGGGGCCACATCTAGTCACTTGTCTATTAGGTGCTCTACAGAGATCCAGCATGCAGTTTAGTACCTATGGGTACTAAATAAGAAGCACTAAATAAGAAGTACTGATAAGAAGTTACAGAACAAAATCCTATTTTATAAAGAATCTGAAAACTGTTTTCATGTAATACTAACCAGAGAAATTCCATCTATTACAACTTAAATACTAGAGAACTGTATACCTTGACTGGTGGTGTGGAAGACGGAGAAGGAGGCATCATGCAGGTTTCTTGACTGTTATAGGAAGGGCTATCAGTCAGGTTCAGATAGAGCTCATCTTCATTGGTGAAATTTCCCTGACTGTCCACTCCCGGAGAGATGCAGATTACTATGGCACTAGTATTATCTGCTCGAAGCATTCGCTGCCTCCAGCGGCCTAGTGCTCGATTCACAAGCATTTTGGCACAAGATTGTCCATGCTCACCCTGTATGTAAAACAACAAAAAAGAAGCTAACTCAGGCTTCGTTACCACTATGGTTGTACCAAATTAATACAAATTAATAATGTTCAACAAGGCCTACATAAATAAAATTTCAAACCTTCTCCACAATCCTTATAACTATGTTAAGACAGCATTGCTCTAAATTAAAAAATAAATCAATAAAATAAAGTCTTATCCTGTGGTTAAATTTCATCTGTATTTTTATCTTTTTGGGAGCAAGAAACTTGGTCTTCATTGTAACCTTACTTAAGAAAGGTTATACAGAAGTTATCTAAAAGGGGGAAGTAAACATCAAGATATTATAGATAAACAACTTTACGCCAATGAAAATGAATTTTTAAAAGTATTACAATAAATAATTCACAAATGAAATAATCATTCATGGCAAAAAAAAAACCACAACCCACACTGCAAAGGGCCAATTTCCTCCTAAAATAAGATTCTGCAAATCAAAGACAATCCCAACATAAAAAAATGTCAAAGAAAAAAAAAAAAAGTCAAAGGACATGAACAAAATTCAGAGACAGAGAAATATAAATGGTTCTTAGCTATATATATATATATATATATATATATGTATACTGTTGCTGTTCAGTTACTCAGACATGTCCAACTCTTTGCGACCCCATGGACTGCAGCACGCCATGCTTTCATGTCCTTCACTGTCTCCTGGAGTTTGCTCAAACTCATGTCCATAGAGTTGACAATGCCATCCAACTACCTCATCTTCTGTCAGTCCCTTTTCCTCTTGCCCTCAATCTTTCCCAGCATCAGGGTCTTTTCCAATGAGTCAGCTCTCTGCATCAGGTGGTCAAGAGCTTCAGCTTCAGCATCAGTCCTTCCAGTGAATATTGAGGGTTGATTTTCTTTAGGATTGACTAGTTTGATCTCCTTGCTGTCCAAGGGACTCTCCAGAGTTTTCTCCAGCACCACAGTTTGAAAGCATTTATTCTTCAGCACTCAGTCTTCTTTATGGTCCAACACTCACATCCATACGTGACTACTGGAAAAACCATGGCTTTGACTATATGGACCTTTCTCATCAAAGTGATGTCTCTGCTTTTTAATACACTGTGTAAGTTTTTCAGAGCTTTTCTTCCAAGCAGCAAGTATCTTTTAATTTCATGGCTGCAGTCACAGTCTGCAGTGATTTTGGAGCCCAAGAAAATAAAATCTGTCACTGTTTCAATTTTTTCCCCATTTATTTGCCAGAAAGTGACAGAACCGGATGCCACAATCTTTAGTTTTTTGAATGCTGAGTTGTAAGCCACCTTCTCCCTCTCCTCTTTTCACCTTCATCAAGAAGCTCTTTAGTTCCTCTTAACTTTCTGCCATTAGGGTAAAAGCATTATCTGAGGTGACTGGTATTTCTCCCAGCAATCTTAATTCCAGCTGTGATTCATCCAGTCCAGCATTTCACATGATGTACTCTGCATATAAGTTAAAAATAAGCAGGGTGACAATATACAGCCTTGATGTACTCCTTTCCCAATTTTGATCCAGTCTGTTGTTCCATGTCCATTTCTACCTACTGCTTCTTGACCTCCATACAGGTTTCTCAGGAGGTAGGTAAGGTTGTCTGGTATTCCCATCTTTTTAAGAATTTCCACAGTTTGTTGAGATTCACTCAGCCAAAGGCTTATACATACATACATACATACATACGTAAATGGTTAATGTCACTTACACGAAGAAAAAAGCAATACAAGTCATTATAGTATAGAGATCAAATATATACCAACAGAAACAGTAAAAAAGGAAAAAAATTAAACAATCTCATGTTATACAAATAAACGTGGCTTAGAATAAGACTAATAGCATTATGTTGTTGTTTAGTTGCTAAGTCGTGTCCAACTCTCTGCAACCACATGGACGGTAGCCCGATAGGCTCCTCTGCCCCATGGCATTTCGCAGGCAAGACTACTGGAGTGGANGGACTGGGTTGCCATTTCCTTCTTCAGGGGAACTTCTTGACCTGGTGATCAACCCTGCATCTCCTGCATTGGCAGGTGCATTCTCTACCACTGAGTCGCCAGGGAAGCCCCCAAAGCATCATACAATGGATTTATAACTGTTAAGTATCAAAGAACAGAAAAGAAAAATGATGTGCTCCAGAAAAGTTACATGTTTTAAAAGTACCTCTAGAAATAGCTGAATAATGAAAATGAGTAGAAATGTCTGAAAAAGAAATGTGCCATGAACTATAAGCAGAAAAAAATTTTACTTAATGTGATAAAATGTGTTGCAAGATTAAATATTAACATACTATAATGTATACTATATAATAATATATAATGTACTACAGTACTATACATGCTTTATTAAAATATATAAAACACATATGTCATTTAACTGTCAGCTCTACCCCTAAAGTTTATATATTCAAACTGAATAAAGAACTGGGTTTTTGTTCATTCTTTCCTTGGGAAACAGGTGATCAATTTTATTTGGGGTTATCTGATCTTGGTCATATTACAGTATTCAATACAGTAATGATGGCAAACTGCAAAAAGTCATCTCAGCTGCTTTAAAATCTTAGTATTAAGCTATCCTTGCATTATTCCTAAGAAAGGTATCATGTGTAATGATGTTTTAAAACATTGCCTGCCCCCCTTCTAATATGAAAAATAAGTACCTCAGTTGATGAAAGGCAGAATTAATCTGTAACTCATCAATCTATCCCACCCCTAGCGTACATGCATGTTGCACCACTCGCCAAACACTAGTGCCCTGAGAATTCGCTGAAGGCCTCCACCTTTCACCTTTGTGTGCCTGTCTCCCGCCCAGCAAAGCTCCATGAAAAGGAAATCTATATCAGCCGTTTCTACTACCTTACTCTCGTTCTCCCTCAGCTCACTGATTCTGTTGACTTGAAAGTTACTCAGTCGTGTCTGACTCTTTGCTACCCCAAGGACTACACAGTCCATGGAACTCTCCAGGTCAGAATACTGACGTGGGTAGCCTTTCCCTTCTCCAGGGGATCTTCCCAACCCAGGGATCGAACCCATGTCTCCCGCATTGCAGGCAGATTCCTTACCAGCTGAGCCACACAGAAAGCCCAAGAATACTGGAGTGGGTAGCCTCTCCCTTCTCCAGCAGATCTTCCTGACCCAGGAATCAAACCAGGGTCGCCTGCACTGCAGGTGGATTCTTTACCAACTGGGCCATCAGGGAAGCCCCTGCTGACTTGGGCCGCTCCATAATACTGTGTCCTTTGCTTCCACCACACTGTCTCACTAGGTGAGGTCACAAATTGTTGTGGCTTTACTTTACTCCAGTTAACACTGAAAGTAGCATTTCCAGGCATTGCCTTTCAGTAACTGCCTACTGAAAATATCTATCCAGATGAACCAAAGGCACCTCCTATTCAACATGCCTACGTATGAACTAATCATCCCTCCTCACAAAACGATGTGCTGCTTCTTCTTCATAACAGCTTCCAGCCATCACTAAGAAATTTGGGTGTCATACTCTCCCTTCTTAAAACCCAAGTTCTGTCAATCCTATCACTTAATGTATTTCTTTTTTGCTTGTGTGCGCGCAGCGTATACAGTCTTTTTCTTTTTCCATTGCTGCCTTAGATCAAGCTTGCAAAGATTTTCATTTGGAACGTAACAGCAGCCTCCATAGAAGCAACCTAATAAACTCATTAAGAAAAATAAAATCAAATACACTGGCAGTAAAAATCAACATGTAAAAAGAGATGAAGACAGATCTTATAAATATGACTCTATTCATCGAAATTCACCTTCTCACGGGGATTCTTCACTAATCACTGCTGACACGTATTCTCTTTCATTGCCAACTCTGCCGGTCTAATTCTATTAAGGGGTGAGACCGTTTTCCTGCACATCCTAATAAATACAATCTTCACATCCATTATCATCTACCCTCTATTTTATATTCCATTCTGCAATGAGTATGCTTTCCAAAATGCTTTTCAATGCTCTCCACTACCTGGTTACAAACACCTAACTTCATAACAGACCATTCGAAACCTTTTTGCCTCTTGTTTTCCAATCACATCAAGTTACTTGTGAAACCTGAATGTGTTGGAGACTGTCTCTTGGACTTTACACATTCTATTCATCTGTCTGGAAAGCTTCACTCTCCTCCCTTGATTTCTTAACCTCGTAAATTCAACTCCACCTTTAAGACATGCTCAAACACGAGTCTCACCCATGAAACTTCCTTATGCAATCTTCAAGTTTCCTATCCTTTCTCTTTCAGTTCTCAACTCCTGCTCTAAATATTGTTCTATAGATGCTCTTTCAATATTCATTTAGGTGTTTATGAATAGGTTCTTCTAGCCCAATAAAACTGGCTTATGGACTCATCATAGAAATGTTTCTTTTTCTCTCATCATTAAAGAATTATAAATCCAGGGACTTCCCTGGTAGTTCCTGTGGTCAAGAATCTGCCCTGCAATGCAAGGAACGTGGGTTCAATCCCTGATCAGGGAACTAAGATCCACAAGACTAGGGATAACTAAGCCCACGCATCATAACTACCTGGCCGGCATGCCACAACTAGAGAGCCGGCAGGTTACAACCAAACCCTGACACAACCAAAAAAAAGGACTATAAACCCAACAGACATGGGAGTTTTCTGGCAGTTCAGTGGCTAGGACTGCATGCTTTCACTATCAAGGATCCAGGTTCCCTGGCCAGGGAACTAAGATCCTGCAAGCTAGCACAGCCAAACAAAATAATATTTATTTTATTTAATCTTTCCTTCACATCTAACATCACTGACCAAATGCATCATGCTAGACCTGAGCTTGTAGAATTAAATAGATACATGACTCTTAGATGGCACTAGTGGTAAAGAATCTGCCTGCCAACATAGGAGATGCCAGAGATGCAGGTTGGATCCCTGGGTCAGGAAGATCCCCTGGAGTAGAAAATGGCAACCCACTCCAGTATACTTGCCTGGGAAATTCCACAAGAGGATCCTGGCAGGTTATAGTCCATGGGATCGCAAAGAGTTAGACATGACTGAGCATGTACGCATGCACTTATCATTAAAACAACTCACAATCAAACGGTACTGATAGCTATCTTCACATCCTAGTTGCAATAACATGGCAAATGCTGAGCAAGGGCCATGTTCTATTTACCTTTGTATCCAGTGTACCGAGTGCCTAACATGGTAGTTGATGGAATAAATGCAGGCAATTTAATACAAGTTCTTTTATGCTGTCTCCTTAGTTAACTTCACCAATCCTCTCATCTTAGGAAAAGATCATCTTTTCCAAGGAGCTGTTGATTCCAGTTAGTTCCATGTGCTTTGGACCGTCATCTCTTATTTCTCTTATTCTGTCAATCTTTCTTGTAAAGACTATAAAACTGCTTTCAAGATCCTGTCTTTTCAAGGTAACAATGGCAATTCCCTTGTCTTGCTGAACACTCACTACATCTATTTCCAAGGCTCACAAAGTACTCTTTCATCATCACTTCAACCTGTCAGCTAATGCTCTCATCACTTCAACTGAAACTCTGCATCCTTGAAGATCACTAATATTAGAAGATCCTAACTGTAAAACCCAATACCCTGTTTTCATCCATCTGCCTCTACTTCTTTGTAGAATTTGACATTGCAGGCTACTGCTCCAAAAACACACTCTTTCCTTGCCTTCAATAACATCACACTTTCCCAAATCTCCTTGCTTTGTCATTGCTCAGAATGAAGAGATCAATTTTCAAGCAAGCCATGAAAGAAAGAAAAGAATTTTCTCATTGATGGTTGTTTCAAGGTCTGCAACTGAATAAAGCAGTACAGGTAACAGAGTTACCACATGACCCAGCAATTCCATTCCCAGGTCGATGTGAGAGAACTGAGAACATGTCCACACAGAAACTTGTCCATGAATGTTAATAGCAGCGGCATTCAAAAGAGCCAAAAAATGGAAACAGTTCCAGGATCCATCATTCCCCTAATGAGCTGTAGAATTCTATACTTTACTTCTTCTCCAGCCAGGGCAAATGCAAAGACCTACTCCAGGGGAACACACTTAGTTCATATTCAAGACTCCTGACGAAAGTACCAGAACAATGCGTAGGTGATAATATTGAATTGAGTTACTTCTTACCATCAGGTATTTTTTCTCCTCTTGGTCCTGGCACATTGAGATGGCGTCTTGAGGTGGAATCATATTCCAAAGTCCATCACTTCCCAAGATAATATACTTGTGCTTCTGGGGGTCAAGAGTGTGGACACTTGTGTCTGGTTCAGGTGACACCACAAACTCACCACTGAAGAAATCATAGCTCCACAAATCACCTGGGGAGCAAGAGGCAGAAAAAGCCAGAAGTGTTATTTCCAAGAGAGTAGTATCCCATCAACAGATTAAAGAAGAAAATCTACATGTTCATCTCAAAAGATGCAGAATAGCATTGGATAACATTTGAAATCCATTCATAATTTTAAAAAAGAAAAATTCTTAGCAATAGAAATTTTAAAAGTTAACTCTCTTATTAACCTAATAAAAGCATGTCTTCTATCACCACTTTTCTTCCAGTTCTACACGAAGGATCCTTCTCAACACAGTAAGAAAATAAAAATATATCATATATATATATTAGAAAGGAGAAAATAAAACTATCATTATTTGTAGATAATTTTATTTCTACATAGGAAATCAAAAAGAAATTAGATAAATTATCAGAACAGGAACACTTAGCGAGGTTGCTAAATACCCAATAAGTAAAAGTCAGCAGTATCTCTATATAACAGCAAGAAACAGAAAATATAAAATTTTAAGCAATTCCATTTACAACAATGCAACAATGAACCAAATGCAAGGTACTGAAAAGCTTAACAAAAGGTATGCAAATCTATCATGCACAAAATTACACAATTAGATTCCAGATTATCTAAATACACAGAGAAATAAATTCTAATCAAAGATAGGAAGATCATGAAGATGTCAAGTCTTCCAAAAATAACCAATAACATCAGTGTAATTCCAACTAAAATCCCAAAAGGATTCTTGTAGAATTTGACGAACTAATTCAAAAATATATAGGAAGGAACTACTGTGTAGCACAGGGAACTCTACTCAATACTCTGCAATGATTCATATGAGAAAGAAGCAATACTCTGTAACGATCTACATGAGAAAGAAGCAATACTCTGTAATGATCTGTATGAGAAAGAAGCAATACTCGGTAATGATCTGTATGAGAAAGAATCTAAAATATCACGGATTCATTTTGCTGTACAGCAGAAACTAACATGACACTGCAAATCGACTGTATTTCAGTAAAAAATTTTAAAAATACATTTGAAAAGTAGAAAAATAAAATAAAATGTACAGGGAAGAGCAAATGGCCAAGATTAACTAAGATAACTGTGAAGAAAAGATAAAATGAGGAGAAGTTGTTCTATAAGTAGGAGTTCTAGTGGCTAACTGAAAACCTGTTAACCCCCTAGGTCAAGAAAATTTGATGTAACCCCCTACATCAAATCCGAAAGGATGAGTGCCAGTCACTTGGAAGAAAATTGCAGAGATAAAAATGAGCATTTTTATGTTTTTAACCTATCTTTGGAAGCTAAAAAGTTTTAAGCAGTCTTTGGAGATCAATAGTTCACCCTTTCAGTGAACCAATAAAAAAAGATTTCTTACATAGTTATCTTCTCCTTGATTAGCTCCCCATAAAACAATGCCTGAAACTTCTGCCTTTCAGATCCACTGGATGTAGACTTCAGAATGTTCAACATAAAAAAACTTTTAGTTGACTCAGGTCATCAACAAGATCAATAAAACTGAAATAGGAAGAAAACTTATAGAAACCATCTACTCTTTTGTGATATACAAGATAACTAAGTAGGACAATATAAACTCTTCTGCCCCCTGAAACAGGAAGGAGGGGACAGAAAGGAGAAAATAAATTTCTGCCTCTTTTGTTTGTTGTCATATTCTTTGGAGAAAGACCTTAAATTAAGAGCAAAAAGTTTTTAGACAAGAGGATAAATTGCGTTTGCCGCTGCTAAGCAGGTCTGACTTTTGCTAAATAAGAGGAAGTTCTTTGTCCTCTCCTTATTCAAACTTCACCATACCTTCTTGAAATACTGGCCATTTCAAATATGCTCAGAGCCCAAGGAAAGAATAGCTCGAATCAATTACTCTAATATAAAATAGCAACTCACTGCTAAACCAGCCTCTTGAAAGGGGCAATTCATTCTTCAGAGTAACAAAAGAGAACACATATGACCACTAAAAGCCAGTTATAATCCAGGCCAGCTCACAAAGACACAGTCATCTCTTTATACCAGTAAAACAAAATTCCCTGGTTGAAACTATAAAAACAAACATGGATGGAAAAAGAGTTAAGATAAATATTAAAGTAGCAATTACAGGGTTCATACGTGATGTTAAAAGCCTTAAAAAGTAGTTTTCCCCCAATATTTGGAATTAATATTGCCATTCCAAGTTAAGAACATAAATTTCCATATAGCAGAATCCCTAATATGTCTAAAACTAAAATTTAGGTTAAAAAAAAAAAAACTGGAGCCCTTTATACAGAGTGAAGTAAGCCAGAAAGATAAACATCGATAGAGTATACTAACACATATATATGGAGTTTAAAAAGATGGTAACAATAACCCTATATGCAGGACAGAAAAAAGAGACACAGATATATAGAACAGACTTTTGGACTCTGTGGGAGAAGGCGAGGGTGGGCTGATCTGAGAGAATAGCATTGAAACAAGTATACTATCAAGTGTGAAACAGATCACCAGCCCAGGTTGGATGCCTGAGACAAGTGCTCAGGGCTGGTGCACTGGGATGACCCAGAGGGATGGGATGGAGAGGGAGGTGGGAGGGGGGATCGGATGGGGAACACATGTAAATCCACGGCTGATTCATGTCAATGTATGGCAAAAACCACTACAATATTGTAAAGTAATTAGCCTCCAGCTAATAAAAATAAATGGAAAAAAAAAAAAGAAAATGTCATGCTGATTCAGAACTGTGTAATATAAAACCCATCTTCAAATTTTTCCAATTATCTCAATAACGACTCTCGTTTTTGGCCACACTGCATGTCTTGCCTGGTCAAGGATCAAACCCAGGCCCCCTCAGTAAAAGTGCTGAGTTCTAACCACTGGATCAGCAGGGAATTTCACAATAATTCTTTTTTTAAAGAAACATTTATTTATGGCTGCGCTGGGTCTCTGTCGCTGCTTTCTCTAGTTGCAGCAAGCAGGGCCTCCTCACCGCAGGGGCTCTTCCCGAGCTCTGGGGCCTCAGTGGCTGCAGCGTGTGAGCTCAGCAGTTGTGGCACACAGGCTTAGTCGCTCCCCAGCATGTGGGATCTTCCCAGACCGGGGATCGAGCCTGGGTCCCATACATTGGCAGTCAGATTCTGAACCACAGGACCAGGAAAAGTCCAACAACCCTTTTTTTAATGTCCAGGATCCACTCATGGATCATTCATTGCATTTAGCTGGCGTATTTTTAGTTGTTTTTAACCCAGAACAACTCTCTAGCTTTTGTGCTTTTTGTCATTCATGACACTGACAGATGACTGTCAAAAGTCTCCAGGCCAGCTGTTTTGCAGAATGACCCGTGATTTAGGGTTTTGCTTTCTGTTTGCTTCTTTGTGTTCTGCAAGATATAAAGGCTTGTGTTTAGGTTAAATTTGGTTTTGGCTGGAATACTACATCTTTCTCAGCTAATCACATGAGGAGGTACAGTGTCCGTCTGTCCCACTGGCATTGCCGAGTTTGATCATTCAGTTAAACTGCTGTCCCCCAGCGCTGTAAAGGTATCCCCAAGTAATCTGTAGGGTGATAATAGTTTGAGACTGTGAGAAATATCCTGTTCTTTACCAAAATATGCCAGGCGTTAGCATCCATTAATGATTCTTGCACAAATCACATGTTATTGTAATGGTTGTAAGCTGAAGACAGAACATTTATTAGCTGTCTTTCCCTATTTATGTATTCTCGGCTGCACCGGGTCGCTGCCGCACACAGGCTTTCTCTAGCTGCGGTGCCCGGGCTTCTCACTGCGGGGGCTTCTCTTGCTGCAGAGCAGAGCCTCTGGAGCCTGGGTTCAGGAGCCGTGGTGCGCAGGCTTAGGCGCTCCACAACAAGCTGCATCTTCCCGGACCAGGGATCGAACCTGTGTCCCCTGCACCGGCAGGTGGGTTCTCAGCCACGAGACCACCAGGCAAGGCCCTCGTTATCTTGTCTAAAGAAAAGCTTTCCGTTCTTCTACTTCTTTATAATCTTTTTGTATCAGTGTGGACTTAGGGAGTCTCCTGCACTTCAGCTGGACTCTTTACACTGAGCCACCAGAGAAGTCTTCTACATGGCTTTCAGTTTAGCTGTCGCTCAGTCGTGTCTGACTCTTTGTGACCCCATGGACTGCAGCACGCTAGGCTTCCCTGTCCATCATCAACTCCTGAAGCATGTCCATCGAGCCTGTGATGCTATTCAACCATCTCATCCTCTGTTGTCCCCTTCTCCTGCCTTCAATCTTTCCCAGCATCAGGGTCTTTTCAAATGAGTCAGTCCTTCGCATAGGATGGCCAAAGTATTGGAGTTTCAGCTTCAGCATCAGTCCTTCCAATGAATATTCAGGACTGATTTCCTTTAGGATGGACTGGTTGGATCTCCTTGAAGTCCGAGGGTCTCTCAAGAGTTTTCTCCAACACCACAGTTCAAAAGCATCAATTCTTCGGCGTTCAGCTTTCTTTATAGTCCAACTCTCACATCCACACATGACTACTGGAAAAACCATAGCTTGGGCTAGACGGACTTTTGTTGGCAAAGTAATGTCTCTGTTTTTTAATGTTGTCTAGGTTGCTCATAGCTTTTCTTCCAAGGAGCAAGCGTGTTTTAATTTTATGGCTGCAGTCACCATCTGCAGTGATTTTGGAGCCCAAGAAAATGGAAGTCTCTCACTGTTTCCATTATTTCCCATGGCTTTACCTGAGATCAAATGAGTAGGAACCAGAATCGAGCTAAGTGTTTTTATCCTTGGTGTAGGGTTTGTACACCACTACACGGGCACAGGATGTTCTTCCTCTACATACTGAAGGGAGGGAGACATCATGGCAGATGCTGCTGGTTGCCTGTTCAATGGCCATTTCCCTTTTGCTCTCACTAGGGGCACTGGAATGATACCAGATGAGAACGAGGCCTTTCTTCTGGGCTCAGTGTGTTCTCTGCTCGCTCCTGAGGCACGCTGTGGCCAGCAGGATGCAGGACACCTAGAAACCCTTACCCCTAGGGAATTTCAGCATCACCTCCTCACCCTCACTCCGTGA